CGAGCAGCTTTCCTCTTTCTCCCTTGAACAGCAAACAAGAACAGCCGGTAAGCATAGAAGAATATCAAACCTCCTAGAACACGCTTCACAGTTTTCCATTTCTCTTTCTCAGCTAAATTTCTATTGCCTTCCTCATTTCTCTTTCATTTGTCTATACTTCATCCATCCCATTTTCTCTATTATCTTCCTTCTTGCCTTCTAATCTTCTAGTTTCTCCTCTCTCTCTCTCTCTCTCACAGTTTTTCTCATACCACTTCAACAACAAATAAGTCTCCACGGTGAAGCCTTCAATGTTGAATCATCTTTTTATCTCTCTTCCATGCTTTTTAGTTTCCACACTAAAATGCTTCTTCGCTTCATTTTTCAGCATATTCAGGAGTTTTTTCATAGCAAGGATTGTTTAGTATTTCTCTCTATTTTTCCTCTTCCCATTCCTTCTTTTCTCGGTAAACTTTCTTCTACTTTCCCACAGTTTATGTATTTTTTAGGAGGCAAAAAGTTTAAATTGGATAACCCATCCCAACCGGTGGTTACCTGGTTAAGCCGGTTTGTGACCGGTTCATTTCATCTCTGGTCCAACAAGCAAACCTGGACCGGTTCACCAGTTTTCTGGTTGAGCAGGCTAATCCAAGCCGGTTTTTTCTTTTCTTTTCTTATTCTTCATAAAAGAGCAAAGTAAAGAATAATATATGTGTGTTTACATTTGTATGCGTTAACCATGAATTACGTAGTTGTCCAATGTCTTTTGCATAGAAGTTCCCTTTAGACAACCGTAGTACTACGCAGGGAATAACTTGATTGTTTGTGGCTTGTATTACATCTTTCTTCTCTCTTTGATATATTAAGACCGAAATAACAATTACTTTGGGGCCCAAAAAAGAAGGAAAATACTTTCATTTTCTTCCTCTTTAAGGAAATGACAGCATAAAAGAAACCTAAATGAAAGGAAAGAACAATAGCATAAAAGAATCTCCTGTATGTTCCAGCTATGTGACAGTAAATTTATATTTGTTGGATTTGTATTATTCAGATGTTGGTTCAATCGGTGACTTCTTGTATGGTCCTTTGTTTAATTTTTTACAATATTAAAGAGTCAGACTAACTTCTTTGATTCATTTACATTTGTCTCCCATTTAATCTTTCTTATCTTGAGTCATTTATATTTACATTCAATCTTGCTTTATATGTTCCAGCAGCAGTCAATCATTTTCTCCAACCTGCCTTTACTGTTCAAGCTTCTCAAATATCTTCAAGTTCATCTATCTTTCAAGCAGGTATATATTCACTTAAAGATTCTTTGCTATGTTTTTGTTAAAAAAATATTGTTTGTTTCAAAATAATATCATCTAGATATACTAGTATATTGAATTGTTATTTGTTTCTTTATTCTTGCATCTGCGCGTCACAGAGTTTGAACTTGAGAATAATTTATACTAATGGAATCTAATTATCTAAACTTTCAGAATATGAAAGAAATTTTAGCAAAAAAGTAAAAAGAGAAGAAGAAGAATATTATTATTATTATCCGGCCAAAAAGATAGTACCGTATTAAACACTGAATTTGTTAGATGCTTTTAATATTATAATGAATTTATGTTATTGAACGTGCTTTTCATTTAAATAAATTATTTTAATTTAACTCATCAAAATATTGAATAATTTTATTTTCGGTTTTAAATTATATATGTATTTATCAAACCACTGATAGTTATAAGAATAGTCTTGTTTTAGTTTTACATCATGATTATATTAAAGTATAATTACAAAAATAAAATAATATTTAATTTATGAACATCCCATGCTAATCTTTTAAGAAGCCTGCGATCCTTTTTAATTTATGAATATTTAATTTATTTGATTTTTTTTGGGTAAAAAATGATATTAAGATTTAAAAAGATTACAATGTCTCTCAATTGGATTTGAGAGTCCCTCAAGTGGATATTTCTGCATTATTCATCTAACATCATTAGGATATTTGAGATAAGTAACCAGGATCACAATAACCCGTTTAGTGGAACTCCAATTTTTATTTATTTGCTTATTTTTATTTTTTTATTTTTTATTATTTGCCATGAATATAATAAGGGAATAACATCTCAATCACCAAATGAATTGATACCTTTGTAAATGAGTAAAGAATAATTTATTTTTATGTTGTTAGCTTTAATTTTTTTTTTTTTAAATCCAAAGACTCAATTGTTTCATATATGTTAATAAGTTATGCTTTATAACTTGCTTCGTCGCAAAAGATTACAGATTTCTTTCTTTCTTTTGAATCTCAGAATAAATTTACAATAATGAATATATGTAGAAATCGAACTCTTCAAAATTTATCATAGGTCTTATTAAATCACAATTTGTTACTTTCTTGAAAGTGGTATACAAGGATTATTTCCATTTAAATGGTTTCTATAATTATGCGTATGATAATCAACCTCCCATCTATTTAACTTAAATTATAGAGACTTCTCTTTTATTTTGGAAATCTATATAAACTTTTCTTAAAATCAAAATATATGTTGCACAGACCTCCCTTCTGGTTTTAAGATTTAACTTCTATCCACCTAACCGTTAGCTGACTGGTAGGGTTAAACTGTTATTTTAATCAAAATACCCCTTAATAACGCAAATATTACTTAATAATTATTATTTAATCACATATGATATATCTTTTTTTGAAATTAAAAACAGTAATTTTAATACATACTTTAATATTTTTTGTTATACTATTAAATCAATTACCATATTATAAATTTAATTAATTTTAAATAGAAATTTTTAGATTAAAATAAATTTAAATGTTTAATCTCGTCTATTAGATAAAACTGACTTATGATGTAATTTTTTAAATATATATTAGCTGAAAATGCTTTGTAATTGTATATATGTATTTTTAATTAAATTATAAAGTTATGTCTTAGTTTAGTAAATTTAGTAAAAATATTAAATAGATCATTAATAAACATCAATATCAAAAGATAAACTAGAGATTTAAAAGAACAAGGGTACAGTGGGGACAAAGTTTTTCTAATATGATTTTTAATTAAAAAATATACTTAAAGAATCTTTTTAGAATATTCTTTAATGGTATTAATGGTTTGGATTAAAATATATGTTATCAAAATAGAGAGATCCGTGTAATTAAGACAGAATAAAAAGGTAGTCCGAATATTTTACTGATTTTATATTCATAATAAAACAATGTTTAATTTGGAAATATGATGAGAAATAAATTTAAAATATGGCGTTATTAAATATTGACGTGTTTTTTTTTTTTACTTGTCTTTGGAGTCTATGATTAAAACATTTGTGAGTATTCTTTTTATTATGATGAAAAATGAATAATTTCAATTTTGTGATGATTATGGACTAAATTTTATATGCCGTGTTATGAAGTTTTTGGGAAAATTGACTAAAAAATAAAAATATGAGTTTTTTCCCCTTCCGTCGGAATTCCACAAGAAAAGATTTTGGTACTAACTCTGTATACTTGCAATACTTATTTTCAATCAAACATGGATATTTGTGTTCTTTTTAATCTATGATTCACCCATTTTGTTATTAATACTTTTACATTTAAAAAATTTTAAATCCAATTATTCTAATTTATTGGAAGCATGTAGTTTAAGTATACAAAACGGTTAAATATCCAAGTTTCCTCCCTTCCAGGACACATTAGTGTCATTGTTAATACGGGACCGTCCTTTGCATAAAAATAGAGTTTGTGAATTAGATTAATATAAAAGTACAATAATATTTAATTTGGACCGTCCTTTGCAAGTAATTGTTTGATATATTGTTATTTGAATTCTGAAATGAAGTTCGTAGTAATAAGATAATACGTAGTTGATGGATCATTGTGCTTATCGAAATGTTGAATATTTTCATCAAAAACAAAGCAGAAATCAGGAATATTGTCATCAACGTGAAAACTGTTTCGATAAATACCATTTGTGAGTGCATATGAGCTTTTTTACCCCTTCTTTTGGTTCTTCAATAATTATACAATATTGAATTTCCATATTTTAAACTCTTTGAAAATTGATATATATATATATATATAACATGTTTGTACTAATTTCGGCGAACTGTTATTTGCTATTTTTGTGTATTTAGGCATCTCTTAAATTTGATTTAAGAGTCGCTAACTCATCTAGAAGAACTCCTTTACTTTTTTATTTTTTTTAATTTTTTTCCCTTTTTACTTGCCATGATTATAGTAACGGATAACTTAATCAGAAAACGAAATTCGTACCTTGCCAAAGAACTCAAGTAAAGAATAATTTATTTTTACCTTTTTAACCTTTTTTTTTTGGGGTATCCAAAGTCTTGGTTCCACATACTTTATGCGTTACTTTAGATGCATGTGTATATTATATATGTCTTTGTCACTTCAGATGTCTTTTGCGGTCATAAATAATGCTATATATAACTTGCTTCCTCGTAAAAGATTTGTCAGTTTTCATGAGAGGGGAGATGACATATCTCATAAGACCAATGTTCTTAGATGTTGCCTCATGTACTATATTTGACTATCATTTGAACCCAAAATTCATATTCTTAAATAACAAATATTTTCATTATAAACTCAAGTCTCTCCTCGGCTTCTTATTAGACTCTTTTTTATATTGTTCTATTTAAAAATTTTATAACTTTTTAATTTAAATAAATAAAATTTATTGATATGATTATTTAAGCTTTAGTTGTCCTATTAAAACGAAATGTAGCGCATTGTGTTCCAATGCTTACATTTAGAAAAGATCAGAAGAAATGACGTTGTTATTGAAATAGTCGAGTTTTATATTATGATTTAATAAGTGTGGGGTCCAAGCATTTTACACACACACATATTTTTTTTAAAGTTCGGTTATATGACTATATTACTAATTAGTCATGCCATAAAGAACAGATCAAAACTGAACTTGGTTGAACGCTACATGCTTGTACCATTGACTTGTGTTAGGGATGATTGCTTACTACATTAATTATGAATGCAGTAAATGGCAGAGATTGTGATCTCAATCGTGTCAAAGGTTGCAGAATACTTGGTGGGTCCGATTTCACATGGAGCTGCATATTTGTTCTGCTTTAAGCAAGTTAATGAAGACTTCGAGAAAGCAAAACAAGAGCTGGAGACGAAACTAGAAGACGTGAAAAAGCGCAAGGAAGAAGCTGATCGAAAAACTGAAGAAATAATGACATCCGTGAAGACGTGGTTGGATGATGTGAATGCAATCCTAGAAGAGGTGCAAAAGCTGCAACAAGAGTTTGAAGGAGGACGAAACAAGTGTTTTAATGTATCACTAAGATATTCTTTAGCAAAGCAAATGGAAAATAAGGCTAAGCGCATGATAGATCTCAAACAAAATTCCAACTTTGAGCCATTTTCCCAACTGACCCAACTTCCTGGCATTAAATACTTCTCTTCCAAAGGGTTTATGGATTTTGACTCAAGGAAATCAATTTATGATCGTCTTTTGGAGGCAATTATAAATGGCAAAAACAAGATGGTGGGACTATATGGTATAGGGGGCTCAGGCAAAACAACTTTGGCAAAGCAAGTGAGCAAGAAAGTGGATGAGTTGAAGCTTTTTGACAAGGTCATCACGGTAGTCGTTTCTAAGCCCCCAAATATTCTGAACATTCAACAAGAAACAGCAGAGCAAATAGGCTTGCCATTTCAAGAGGCAACTCAACTTAATAGAGCACAAAGGCTGTCAGAGGGATTGAAAAATAAGAAGATTCTTATAATCCTGGATGATGTGTGGAGCGAACTATGTCTTGAAGAAATTGGAATTCCATTAAATGAAGGTTGTTGTGTATTGTTGACCACTCGTCTTCGTGATGTATGTGTTTCTATGGATTGTGAAAGTATTATGGAATTGTCTCTCTTAACGAAGGAAGAGTCATGGGCATTGTTCAAGATGCGTGTTAAAACAACCAACGTCTCAATGAATGAGTTTGATAGCATTGGAAGGCAAATTGTTGATGAGTGTAAAGGTTTGCCTATTGCGATTGTGATAGTTGGAAGCACATTAAAAGGAAAGAGTATTCAAGCGTGGAAGTCAACACTAAGGAGGCTACAACATCCCCTATCATTGGATATTGAAGATGATTTGAAGACCCTTTATGCAATTCTTGAAGTAAGTTATGATAATTTGCCGAGTTCACTAGCCAAGTCGCTCTTCATATTGTGTTCTATGTTCCCTGAGGATCATGAAATCCATAAAGAGGATTTAATTCGTTTTGGCAAAGGGACTTTAAAGCTTGGTGACGATATTTATACAATAGGGGATGCAAGGAATAGGGTTGTAGCGAATATTGAGACATTGTTAGATTCTTGTTTGTTAATGGATACCAATAAGCAGGAATGTGTAAAATTGCATGATGTGGTTCGAGATGTAGCCTTACGGATTGCGAAGAAGCAACATCAAGAAGTTTTGGTGGATAGCCATTCAATTTCGAACATGCTGGTAAGCAACTGTCAAAGAGGAAATGATACGAAGGCACTCTCACTGTGGAATTTGGATGAGAATTTCAAGGTCTCTAATGAATTGCGTTGTCCATCACTTGAGATTTTGCTACTTCAACCTAATGGTTTCATTGAAGATATTGGAGGAATAAGAACACTTAAAGTGTTGGCACTCATAGAAGATGGCTTTCGATGGGGATTTTGGTCATCAACTTTTTGCTCAATCCCACAATCAATTGTATTGTTAACAAATCTTCAAACATTATGTCTTAGAGGGAAACAATTGGGTGACATCTCTTTTTTGGGTGAACTCAAAGGATTGGAGATTCTTGATTTGCGTGGTTCTTTATTTAATGAATTACCTGCTGAAATTGCAGACATGAAAATGCTGAAACTCTTGGATATATTTGGTTGTGAAATTGAGAAAAGCCCTTTAGAAGTAATTGGAAGATGTGAGCAGCTTGAAGAATTATACTTCTGGGAGAAGAAATCTGTCATCCCTGAGAATTTCTCTCTTTCAAGGTTGAAGAGGTATGTCATCTATGATTCCACATGCAGAATGATTGATGAATATATGGGCAACTCTTTCCAAGAATATTTGGATAGTTGTGATGAAGCATTAAGAGCTTTATGCATACAAGGCTTCAGAATCTTTGCCCTGACTTCGTCAATGAAGGATCTCATTTTTCGTGCAAACCACCTTTGGTTAGATAATTGTTCGTGGGATCATAAAGATATAAATTTTAGGATAAAGCACCTCGTGGTATCATTCTGTCAAGAGAGAAGATTCATCATTGAGAACTCTGATATGAACACTCTTCAAACACAACAAATGTTCTTAGACTTGATCACTTTACGATTGTTTGAAATGAATAGTCTTGAACAGGTGTTTCGAGCTTCATCTATCAGCTACTCTCTCCCCATGTTACAAGAGCTGTCGATACAAAGTTGTCCTGAGTTGAGAACGTGCATCTTCCCCCATGCCATGGTTACGAGCTTGCCAAAGTTGAGGAAACTTGAGATTGAGGGTTGCGACAAAGTGAAATGGTTATTCTGTTATTCTTTGGCTTCTCATTGTCCTTCCTTGGAGAAGATAATTATAACCGATTGCTTTAAGCTTGAGAGGCTCATTGATGAAGAAGCTGCACATGGGGATCCATCACTTCATGACATGCAATACTGTCATCCACATGTAAGTATTATTCGCGAAATTCTTCTTGAATCATTGCATATTAGAAATAATAATCCGTGTTCATGCATTTGCTGAAAAAGGTTTATCTTTTCATTTAATTTTCAAACTGCATTTGTTGGTTTTCTTTTGATAGATGAATTTGATATCCTTTTCTCAACTTACGTTCAATCAATGCCTCTGTTTCATCTCTCCAGTTAATTTCACTTCTTTGTCCAGTAAACGTGCTATACAATTTCTAACTCCATCCATATATTGTGAAAAGTACATACAGGCTGGGGAAAAAAACCAGAATTCATTCAACTGCTAATAATTTCACACATTTTTAGGTGATTTTTTTTACTTTTTTTTTTGGTGAAAATTCTTTTTACTTTTAGTTCACTCTACCATACTATTTATTTTTAAAAAAATTGAAGATGGCCATTTTTACATTTTCTTTTAATTTGAAAAAATTGTGCTTCTTACCGAATAATATAAACAAGTATAAAAAAATTCTCAATAACAAACAATAGTAATATTATCTTTCTTTTTGTTTACTTGGCCTCTATTTTTTTTTTGTAATTTAAAAATAGCCTTGTTTACAATCGTATAATGTATTTATATAAGTGTTAAAAACTGCGTTCTTAATAAGAAGTATAGTCATTTTATTTTTGACTCGAGTTCACTGTAACTGTGTAAAATTCTTATTATGAAATTTTTTGAGCTGCTATAGATAAAAACTACTTTTTTGAGTTTTCTTTATCTTTAAGATAATAAAATATTATTGCTTTTCAAGATTTGTATTTTTCTAATTAATTTTTTTAAAAAAACTATCACTTTTACCTTGCCAAATCCGACACTGTTCAATGGATGTTGTTTTCGTCATCAGGTAACTGAAATGTTTTTTCCTTTGTATTTTTCTGCCATGCTTTTCAATGGATGTTGGGGGGGGGGGACTTTTTAACTCTGCCTCTTTTTGTCTTGAAAAAATTGTAAGTTTACATTTCAGTATTTGGCCAAATAATTTGTGTTGATCATGAAATATACAATATGTCTACTTATCTATCGTTCATTAAATGTCATATAGTTATCATAATACATGTTGAATATAATCAAGTAGCGCGCGCGCGCGCGCGCACACGATAGGGATAAAGTGCAAATTTGATCGGTATATGGCTAGAAGCCATTGGTGTCCAGAAGCTTCTGAAATCTCAATCTCACCCCAAACAAAAACATAAGAATATTACCCTGAATGTTATCCCAATTAATTTTGACAGTTAATTTGACCAGATTGCTTATGTGGGGTGCCATATGGTATGACAACTCATCGTCCCTCTCTTCCTCTCTTCCACATCATGGGATAAGCTTGCGTTTTGATAAGGGGAGGTTTGGAATCGGGGTTGTGATACTTGAGGCGGTGGGAGTTGTCTCGAGTAGCAAAGGAGGAGAGTACTCAGGGTCTCAAATAGATCTGACGAGCATGTTGTGGGTGGGGGGAGGGGAGAGGGAGATGATAATGGTGCCAATATAGATGAAGATGATGAGATGTTTTCACTCAAAAAAAAAAAAAAGGATGATGAGATGGAGGGTGAAGTGGAAGAGAAGAAAGACTGATGACATGGCATGCCACATAAGCAATCTGGTCAAACTAACTGTCAAAATTAACTGGAATAATGGTTAGGCCAACATTGCTACGTTTTTGTAATTTTGAGGGTGATATTGAGACTTAAAAAACTTTCAATACCCATACCTCCTAACCATATACTTCAAGGACAAATTTGTACCTTATTTCTTTGTATTTGTTACTTACACATGTTTCTAGGTATAAGTATTGACGTAATCATGATGAATGAATCCAATCACAAGTTGTAAAATATAGTTTTTCTAAATTAAAAATACGTGAAGTCAATTTAGTTCAATTTTAGAATAAGTTGAAGGTGTTGTTTGTTGTAAAAGAAAACATATTTATCAAGTTTTAAATATAAGACCCATTAGAACTGAAGGAGTAGTTTTAACTATATCAATCTCTTTTTATTATTAAATTTTCTTAGCTCTTTATCTATGCTCCACGATGAAAATATTGAGTTTTCCTTATTTTCATGATAATAAAATATTACTGCTTTTTAATGCTTTGCATTTGCTTATTAATTTATTTTGTCAAATGATGACTTCTATTTGTCAGTTGCAACGTTTTATATTTCTTATTTTGTATTTTGGTCTACGAAATGACTTTTTCTTTTTCTTTTTTAATTTGGAATGACTTTTTCATATTGTTTTTGCCGTTAGGTATTTATTGTGGGAAGCGCTTGTTCAAAGTTTAATTATTTTATTTACAGATATATTAGTGTTGATGCAATATCTAAAAATTATACATACTTTTAGAGAAATAGTTTTTCCTTTGAATTCTTTTCACCAATCTTTTCTTTAGATGTGAACAAAATACCCTTTTATTGTGGCCCTTTTTTATAATATGTATTTATATAATTATTAAAAAAGAATATTCTTAGTAAGAGATGATAGTCATTTTATTCTTGACTTGAGTTCATTGTAACTATATAAGCCTCCTCTTCTTATTATGAAATTTTCTGAGCTCTACATTGAGGCTACACGATAAAACTATTTTTTGGGTTTTTGTTATTTTCAAGATAACAAAATACTATTGCTTTTCAAGATTTGTATTTTTCTTATTAATTCTTATTTTCAACTTACTACTTTTACTTTGCCAAATGGAACACTTTATATTTTTTTTATTTTGTACTTTCGTCAAGGAAATGTATTATATATTGTTTTTGGCATTACGTATTTATAATAAATTTGAGTTGTTGTATTATCCATGAATTACACATACTTTAACATAAATGATATCTTTTTTTAATCGTTTGGATTTTTCTGCCATGCTTTTCCATGGATGTGAGAAAATATATAATAGGTCTATTTATACATGTCATTAATTAAATGTCATATAGAGGTTGAATATAATCATGTAGCAACAAGTATATTCCAATTTAAAAACACATGTTTTGAGATTATATATGGCATCACGATTTAAAAAATGCGTGAAAGCAATTTATTTTAATTTCAGAATATGATCAAGGTGTTGTTTGTTATTAAAAAAAAGTAATTTTTGTAAATTACAATTTCTATCACCATCTATATATTATTTGTGGAAAGGAATTGGATAGGCTAATATATTATAAAATAGTGTCATTTCATTTTTTATTTAAGGATTTTTAATTATATAACAATGTGCTTATCGTGAAGTTCTAAATCTTTGCATTTCATGGTCCAAATAAAGAAAACCTTTGCATTTAGCATTTATGATACATACTAAAGATTAAAGGGATGATTAAAGGCTGAGTAGGAATAATGAATAAAAGTCTAGGGTCCAAGTTTTACATTGAGTTAAAACTATGGGACCAAAAGAGTAATTTTGTAGATTTAATTACTAATTTTTTTTTAGTATTACAAGATATTATTTACAAACTGCATTTGCTATTTCTTTCCACGCATAATTTGATAAAAACTTAAATCTCTTTTGTTCATTTTATTTTTTTGGTCAAATAATTAATCTCATTTTCCCGAACAATACTTTATATTTTTTTGTTTTGTATTTTCGTCAATCGGTTTATTTAAAATATGTTGAAGTTGATACAATATCTATGAATTACATACTACTTTTCCGGTCTTAAGTATAAGATCTATTTTGTAGTATAAATTACATTATAAAATAGGTTTTATATTTAGGACTGAATGAGTATATTTTAAGAGAAGTGTTTTGCTTTGCTGGCAAAAGAAGAAAAGAAATAGAAATATTTTGTAGTATAAATTACATTATAAAATAGGTTTTATAAATTTGCCTACTTGTTAGAAAGGATTATTTACTAACAATAGTTGGCAATAATTAATATATTATATAAGAAACTTGTTGGTTTTAATGCCCAATCTAGTTAGAGTAGAACGCAAGTTGTTATAATCAGTCCATTTCATAATTTTAATTTTAATACATTTACAGGGAAAGGAAACTGACAGTGCTTATGTGGGCGTTACAGCAAAAAGATTCAATCAGTTGCAAAATGAGCAATCCTTGATACTTTTTCTAAGGTTGAAAAGTCTACAAATTAAAAGGAGTGGAAAAAAGAAAGGTATATTGGAAATCCAAGTCAGAGGAAGAGTAGAAGATGATGAAGAATCTATTAAAGCCCAAGAACCTCTAAAGCTGGATTCAGAGATGAGTGAATTAAAATTAGATGATCTACCAGAATTGGAATATATTTGGAAGGGCCCCACCCAAATTGTGAGCCTCCATAGACTTGAAAATGTTTTGTTGTGGAACTGCCCAAAACTAAAAAGTATCTTCACTCTAGCTATTGTTGCAAGCCTTCCAGAGTTGAGAACACTTGAAGTATATTGCTGTGAGGAATGGGAGGGAATATTTTGTGAAGAATCACTCAAAAACCTCTCTTCTTCTAATATTTGCTTCCCCAAACTTAAGCAGATTGACATATATGATTGCAGCAGAGTGAGATGGTTGTTATCTTATTCTCTTGCATCTCATTGTCCTTCACTAGAGATTATATCCATAGACCATTGCTCTGAATTTGAGAGGCTCATTGATGAAGAAGCTGCACATGGGGATCCACTACTTCATGATATGCAAGATCATCCACAGGTAAGTCTCATCCGCAATGTCTCTCTCTTTTCTCTTTTTTTTTTTTGACCAGCAAATCCGCAATGTCTCTCTTGAATAATTGCATATTAGAAATAATAATAATCCATATATATATGTTGACGCATTTGCTAAAGTAGCCGTGTTCAATTTACATCTCCCTTTTATTTGAAAATTTTTTGTTTGCTATCGTATAATATATATATATATTTGTATAATCATTAAACATAACTTCTACAGTAATTATTTTATTTTTGACTTCACTTTATTATACCTGCATAAACCTCTTTTTATTATTAAATTTTCTGGGCTATATATTCAGGCTGCATGATGAAACTATTTTCTGAGTTTTCCTTATTTTCATAATAATAAAATATTATTTCCTTTTTGAGCTTTGCCTTTTTCTTATTAATTTTTTTAAAATAATGACTTTTATTTGTCACATGCAGTAGCATTTTATATTGCTTATTCTGCATTTTGGTCAAGGAAATGACTTTTTCATATTGTTTTTGCTATTAGGTATTTATTGTGGGAAGTGCTTGTTCAAAGTTATTTTTATTCAAAAATAAATTAGTGTTGATGCATTATCTAAAAACTACACATACTTTAAGAGAAATATTTTTCGCTTTCAAAATTTTTCGCCATGCTTTTCTTTACTTGTTGATGTGAAAAAATACCTTTTTGTGGCTCTTTCTTTTTCTGCTAAAAATTAAGTTAACATTATAATTTTTGTTCAAATAGTTCTTGTCAGTCAAGAAATATTTAATATGTGTACTTCTTGCTAAAATATATATTTTATTTATTAAATGTGATATGGTTGTTATAATAGAGAATTAACATAATCATGTAGTAAAGAGTATATACAACATTTGCCAATCACACATTTTCCATGTTACTATAAAGATTGATTGAGTCTGGTAAAACGCATGTCGAGATTATGTTAACACAATTTTAAAAGCATGTTTTTCATTTTGCCATTAAATGATCAATTCGGAAAATACTTATAATGGCTAAACATAATATAAATTAGTGTCCGCAGAAGTTCTCACCCAAGATTTCAAATATTTTGATAAAATTTTTCTTTCGCTCACCTACCTCTTTTTCATAGAATTTTTATTTAGCATTTACATTATAATACTAAAGATTAAACTGCTCAAATTTTTCTTTTTCTTTTTTCAGTGTTACAAAATATTATTTGCAAGCTGCATTTTTTAATTTATCTTTCCACATATGAATTTGATAAAAAATTTAATCTCTTTAGTTCATTTTAATTTTTTTGTCAAATAATTAATTTTGTTTTTCCAAACAACACTTTCTGATTTTTATTTTTTATTTCGTCAAGCAAATAATTATATGGAATTGTATCTCATTTAGAATAAGTTGGAGCTGATATAATATCTACAAATTATGTATATATACACAATATTTGTTAAATTTTCTGTGGACGCTAAAAAGGTCTTTGTCAGTGTGCATCTTTTATTACTGTTAAAATTTGTATGTTTTCCTTTCAGCTTTTGTACGAAACTAACTAGCATGCTTTAATCTCTCAGCAACCTTTGATCCGAAATTGTTCTGAACTTGAGAGGCTTGCTGAAGAAGCATCATATGGGGATCGGCTACCACTTCTCAAACTGAAGCGCTTACGCTTGTTGTCATTGCCGAAATTGAGAGAGATCTTCCCTCACGTGAGTGTTTTCTCTCACTATTTCTTTTTTATTTGTGATTTTTTATGGATAAAATTGATAAATGTCTTTTAAATTATTTATCAAACATAACACTTTATATTTTTCATTTTATAGCTTCGTCGGAGAAATAACTTCTTTGTTATTACAGAAAGTACTTGTTCATGGTTGTTTTTGTTAAGAATGAATCAGTGGAAATATTTTCTCATTTTCTTTGGACGTGAAAAAAATTCTTTTTACAGGACCTATTTTCCTTTCCTCTTGTTTACTTTTTAAATTTATTTGAACATTTGTGTTTACTATGAAACGATATATATGAATAGCAAGACTATATTCTAATGAAAAGCAATAATCATTTCAAATTTTATTTGATATTTTGCGTCTATAAAGCAGTCTTCTTGTCATGAAATCATGCTGAAAATTACTTGAAGTATTAGCAATGTTCCCATTAATGCTCGGTTGCAGAATCATTTTTTGTTTTTGTGAGCGGTTCTTTATCATGGAAAGTATGACTTGTCCAAGACTATTTGATTTGAAATAAATCAACGTTGATGCATATTTATACCTCATACATTGTGTACGTGTGTGTGTCTATATATATATTTCACATTGGACCATCAATAATATGTATAAGAAAAGTCTAACTTAATAAAATTCATCTTACTGAGCTTATCTTATTACAGTTTTATAAATATGTGAAATGAATGGGGTTCACTTTTTAATGTTACATTGCCATTAAATTTATGTGGTTCATGTGTGTGTATACATAGTCCATATGTTGAATTTTCATCTAATCATTGAATATATTTACTTCACAGAAACACGACAATGACACAGTGAGGGTGGTAAAGTCAGAATTGTGTGCTGTACAGTTAGGAGATCTACCGGAATTAGAATATATTTGGAAAGATCCCACACAAATTTTGAGCTTCCATAGACTTGAATATATTGCACTGAGGAAATGCCCAAGATTAAGAAATATGTTCACTGTTGCTGTTGTTACAAGCCTTCGAAAGTTGAGGGAACTTGATGTAAGAAGATGCAATGAATGGGAGGGAATATTTTGTGAAGAGTCACTTAAGAATCTGTCTACTACTTCCACTGTTTGCTTCCCCAAACTTGAAATCATTAAAATAATTAATTGCCACAAAGTGAGAAGGGTGTTCTCATATTCTCTGGCATCTCATTGTCCTTCATTGAAGAGAATAACTATAGAGAATTGCTATGAACTGGAGGGGGTTGTTGAAGCTTATGAAGGTGAAGTAGCTGCTCATCATCAAAGGCTGTTTCCTAAACTGAATTATTTGAAGCTCAGTGATTTGCCAAAGTTGAGAGAGATTTATGAAGGTTATGAATTCAACCTCCTTTCTGGTACTATAACAATCAAAGATTGTCCAAACATATCAAAAATCTCAAAAATCCCATTAGAAGACAAACCCTCATCATCAGGTTCGTAGCTACACTTTTTCTTTCAAACTATTATCATATTTAATCAATGAAAAAATTTTGTGCATTACAATTTCTATTTTATATGGAAAAAAAAGGGTCTTTTATTACGAGAAAAAAAATTCTATCTTAACACCCACACATACATCGCTCTAATTTTTTTATTCAGAAATTGCAATCACTCCCAAAATTTTTCATCATATCAAAATCATAATAATGTACTCGTATTAAATAAGTGACATGTTATGGTAATATTAGAAGTTGAATAACTATATGGAACTCAAAAATAATTAATTTCCACAATTTACACATTCTTAATACATTATTTCTCATCATTATAAATAGTTAGCTCTAATTTAATACACATTATCTAAGGACCGTCTCGAAGATTGTGAAGAATAAACAAGGTTATTAATTTTTATTTTGTCTATATGTTCCATTTTGATTAAGCTGCTAATTAATTGTTTTGTTTTTTGGGTCAGCCTTGGAGATCAAATTGGAAAGTGAGATAATGAAGGGCTGATGATGAGCTTTGGATCTTCCAATGGTTTCTTTATCTGCATTTGTGTTTTACTAAGTTGTGTGTGAAAATATGTTGGATTTGTATCAGTGTGCTGAAAATTTCACAAAAACTTAAAAAAAAAAAAGAAGCTTAAAAATTTAGACATACCTTTACTTTGAAGTTGTATTTTATTTGAGTCTGTTGAAACTATGTAACTACATTCAAGATTGCACACAAAATACAATAATTGTGTGGCCCTTGTGTGCACAACTTATTTTATTTCAAATATTGTATCAATGATTTCTTATGTTATTCTTTATTTCAATCTCGCAATATAGTTGTTATTATTTTTAAAAAAAACAATCTTGTATATCCATTTATATTGAAAAAAAAATCATCACAAAAAAGGTTTTTCAAATAGCAAAAAGGATAACATACTTCTAAATTGTAGACAAATAAGTTTTGAAGGTCTCGCCCATAAGCTCTCCACACTTGCTTCATAATCAAAAGGATAAAGTAATGTTAATGTGTATAAAGCATTTCAAGTGAAACTTTATAATACAATCCATCAATTTGACAACTGTAAATAAAATAGAATTTATGTTTTAAAAAAAAAGAATTAAATTATATCTGGCCTCTACAAGAAACAGTGATAAGTGATAACCATAAAAAGAATATGACAAAGCTTCCTTGTGTTTAATTTAAAAATAAAAATATCATTCATAGTCCACTTATTATAAACCGAAGTCTTGCTGATAGGTCTCTATTTTCGCCCCTTTTTATTCATCTAATAAAGTATACTTTGGCAAACATATATAAGAAATTAGGATTCTTTACATTCATGGATTGATACATTTGAAGAAAGTTCCATAAAAGAATGTAACTACAAATTAGAAATAGTCTTGAGAGTTTTTGAAAAGGTACTAAAGCTAGAAACACAAATGTTCTCTTTATTGAATCTACAGAGCATGAATCCAAATGCTTTGTAATCCTAAGTGGGACCAAGTTAAAAAAAATCGAGGGATAATTGTGAAGAAAAATATTACTCATCATATTTGGCATGACTTAAAGATTTATGTATTTGTGCTTCTCATTCTCATGAATATCAAGTAGGTGGGAAGAACCTGTTGAGATTGAATGGCAAAGTATAGAACTCTTCATTTCTGCTATCTCCTTTAAATTTTCTGAACTTTGCCCACCATGTCATCCCTCTATCTTTCTTTGACTTTTCAACCTCGAGCGTGTTGTCAAGGAACACCACCACGATCAAAGCCACTATGGCCGGTGATGAGAATATGGTGTTTATGAGTGCATTGAGCTACAAAGATGACACATTGTCACACATAAAAATGAGTTCTTGATGTTCGAAAATTTCAGCAACAATGTAGGGATGGTTTGCTTATGTCTTAATCAATAATCTCAGCCTTTTAAGACAACTTTCCACTTAATCCCATCAAAAGGTCTGAAACTAGTTCTAAATTAATAAAAAAGTTTATCTTTTCATTTAATTTTTAAATTGCATTTGTTGGTTTTCTTTTGATAGATGAATTTGATATCCTTTTCTCAAACGTTCAATCAATGCCTCTGTTTTATCTCCCTAGTTATTTTTGCTTCTCTGTCAAGGAAACGTGCTATACAATTTCTAACTCCATCCATATATTGTGAAAAGTACATACAGGCTGGGGAAAAAACCAGAATTCATTCAACTGCTAATAATTTCACACATTTTTAGGTGATTCTTTTTACTTTTTTTTTGTGACAATTCTTTTTACTTTTAGTTCACTCTACCATACTATTTATTTAAAAAAAAATTGAAGGTGGCCATTTTTACATTTTCTTTTAATTTGAAAAAATTGTGCTTATTACCGAATAATATAAACAAGTATAAAAAAATTCTCAATAACAAACAATAGTAATATTATCTTTCTTTTTGTTTACTTGGCCTCTATTTTTTTTTTTGTAATTTAAAAAATAGCCTTGTTTACAATCGTATAATGTATTTATAGAATTGTTAAAAACTGCGTTCTTAATAAGAGGTATAGTCATTTTATTTTTGACTCGAGTTCACTGTAACTGTGTAAAATTCTTATTATGAAATTTTTTGAGCTGCTATAGATAAAAACTACTTTTTTGAGTTTTCTTTATCTTTAAGATAATAAAATATTATTGCTTTTCAAGCTTTGTATTTTTCTAATTAATTTTTTTAAAAAAATTATTACTTTTACCTTGCCAAATCCGACACTTTATTTTTTTATATATTTTGTATCTTGGTCAAGGAAATGACTTTTTGATATTGTTTTCGTCATCAGGTAACTGAAATGTTTTTTCCTTTGTATTTTTCTGCCATGCTTTTCAATGGATGTTGGGGGGGAAAAAACTTTTAACTGTGCCTCTTTTTGTCTTGAAAAAATTGTAGGTTTACATTTCAGTTTTTGGCCAAATAAGTTGTGTTGATCATGAAATATACAATATGTCTACTTATCTATCGTTCATTAAATGTCATATAGTTATCATAAAACATGTTGAATATAATCAAGAAGCGAACATATATATATGTGTGTGTGTGTGTGTGTGTGTGTGATAGGGATAAAGTGCAAATTTGATCGGTATATGGCTAGAAGCCATTGGTGTCCAGAAGCTTCTGAAATCTCAATCTCACCCCAAACAAAAACATAAGAATATTACCCTGAATGTTATCCCAATTAATTTTGACAGTTAATTTGACCAGATTGCTTATGTGGGGTGCCATATGGTATGACAACTCATCCTCCCTCTCTTCCTCTCTTCCACATCATGGGATAAGCTTGCGTTTTGATAAGGGGAGGTTTGGAATTGCCGTTGTGATACTTGAGGCGGTGGGAGTTGTTTCGAGTAGCAAAGGAGGAGAGTACTCAGGGTCTCAAATAGATCTGACGAGCATGTTGTGGGTGAGGGGGAGAGAGGGAGATGATAATGGTGCCAATATAGATGATGAAGATGATGAGATGTTTTCACTCAAAAAAAAAAAAAAAGGATGATGAGATGGAGGGTGAAGTGGAAGAGAGGAAAGACTGATGACATGGCATGCCACATAAGCAATCTGGTCAAACTAACTGTCAAAATTAACTGGAATAATGGTTAGGCCAACATTGCTATGTTTTTGTAATTTTGAGGGTGATATTGAGACTTAAAAAACTTTAAGATACCCATACCTCCTAACCATGTACTTCAAGGACAAATTTGTACCTCATTTCTTTGTATTTGTTACTTACACATGTTTCTAGGTATAATTATTGACGTAATCATGATGAATGAATCCAATCACAAGTTGTAAAATATAGTTTTTGTAAATTAAAAATACGTGAAGTCAATTTAGTTCAATTTTAGAATGAAGTTGAAGGCGTTGTTTGTTGTAAAAGAAAAAATATTCATCAAGTTCTAAATATAAGGCCCATTACAACCGAAGGAGTAGTTTTAACTATATCAATATCTTTTTACTATTAAATTTTCTTAGCTCTTTATCTATGCTCCACGACGAAAATATTGAGTTTTCCTTATTTTCATGATAATAAAATATTACTGCTTTTTAAGGCTTTGCGTTTGCTTATTAATTTATTTTGTCAAATAATGACTTCTATTTGTCAGTTGCAACATTTTATATTTCTTATTTTGTATTTTGGTCTACGAAATGACTTTTTCTTTTTCTTTTTTTATTTGGAATGACCTTTCATATTGTTTTTGCCGTTAGGTATTTATTGTGGGAAGCGCTTGTTCAAAGTTTAATTATTTTATTTACAAATATATTAGTGTTGATGCAATATCTAAAAATTATACATACTTTTAGAGAAATAGTTTTTCCTTTGAATTCTTTTCACCAATCTTTCTTTGGATGTGAACAAAATACCTTTTTATTGTGGCCCTTTTTTATAATATGTATTTATATGATTATTAAAAAAGAATATTCTTAGTAAGAGATGATAGTCATTTTATTCTTGACTTGAGTTCATTGTAACTATATAAGCCTCTTCTCATTATGAAATTTTCTGAGCTCTACATTGAGGCTACGCGATAAAACTATTTTTTGGGTTTTCGTTATTTTCAAGATAACAAAATACTATTGCTTTTCAAGCTTTGTATTTTTCTTATTAATTCTTATTTTCAACTTACTACTTTTACTTTGCCAAATGCAACACTTTATTTTTTTTTTAATTTTGTACTTTCGTCAAGGAAATGTATTATATATTGTTTTTGGCATCACGTATTTATAATAAATTTGAGTTGTTGTATTATCCATGAATTACACATACTTTAACATAAATGATATCTTTTTTTAATCGTTTGGATTTTTCTGCCATGCTTTTCCATGGATGTGAGAAAATATATAATATGTCCATCTATACATGTCATTAATTAAATGTCACGTAGCAACAAGTATATTCCAATTCAAAAACACATATTTTGAGATTATACATGGTATCACGATTTAAAAAATGCGTGAAAGCAATTTATTTTAATTTCAGAATCATGGTCAAGGTGTTGTTTGTTATAAAAAAAATAATTTTTGTAAATTACAATTTCTATCACCATCTATATATTATTTGTGGAAAGGAATTGGATAGGCTAATATATTATAAATTAGTGTCATTTCATTTTTTATTTAAGGATTTTTAATTATCTAACAATGTGCTTATCATGAAGTTCTAAATCTTTGCATTTCATGGTCCAAAAAAAAAAAAAAACCTTTGCATTTAGCATTTATGATACATACTAAAGATTAAAGGGATGTTTGAAGACTGAGTAGGAATAATGAATAAAAGTCTAGGTTCCAAGTTTTATATTGAGTTAAAACTATGGGACCAAAAGAGTAATTTTTGTAGATTTAATTACTAATTTTTTTTTTAGTATTACAAGATATTATTTACAAACTGCATTTGCTATTTCTTTCCACGCATAATTTGATAAAAACTTAAATCTCTTTTGTTCGTTTTATTTTTTTGGTCAAATAATTAATCCATTTTCCTGAACAATACTTTTTTTTTTTTGTATTTTCGTCAATGAATTAATTATTTAGGATTGGTTTATTTAAAATATGTTGAAGTTGATACAATATCTATGAATTACATACTACTTTTCCGGTCTTAAGTATAAGATCTGTTTTGTAGTATAAATTACATTATAAAATAGGTTTTATATTTAGGACTGAATGAGTATATTTTAAGAGAAGTGTTTTGCTTTGCTAGCAAAAGAAGAAAAGAAATAGAAATATTTTTCTTAGATTTTCTTTTGACGTCTAAAAGGTTTTATATTTAGGTTTTATATTTTGTCAATAAAATAATTATTTAGGACACCACATTTTAAGATAAACGTTATTCTTAAATTTTCTTTTGATGTTTAAAAAGATCTCTCTTACCGTTCCTCTTTTGTTGCTGTTAAAATTTTTATATTTTCATTTCAAGTGTTGGTAATAAAAAAAGTCCTGATTGTTACTATATAAATTTGCCTACTTGTTAGAAAGGATTATTTACTAACAATAGTTGGCAATAATTAATATATTGTATAAGAAATTTGCTGGGTTTAATCTCCAATCTAGTTAGAGTAAAACGCAAGTTGTTATAATCAGTCCATTTCATAATTTTAATTTTAATACATTTACAGGGAAAGGAAACTGACAGTGCTTATGTGGGTGTTATTGCAAAAAACTTCAATCAGTTGCAAAATCAGCAATCCTTGATCCTTTTTCTCAGGTTGAAAAGTCTACAAATTGAAAGCAGTGGAAGAAAGAAAGGTATATTGGAAATCCAAGTCAGAGAAAGAGTAGAAGATGATGAAGAATCTATTAAGGCACAAGAACCTCTAAAATTGGATTTAGAGTTGAGTGAATTAAAATTAGGTGGTCTACCAGAATTGGAATATATTTGGAAGGGTCCCACCCAAATTGTGAGCCTTCATAGACTTGAAAATGTTTCATTGGGGAGATGCCCAAAATTAAAAAATATCTTCACTCTTGCTATTGTTGCAAGCCTTCCAGAGTTGAGAAGACTTGAAGTAGATGATTGCGAGGAATGGGAGGGAATATTTTGTGAAGAATCACTCAAAAACCTCTCTTCTTCTAATATTTGCTTCCCCAAACTTAAGGAGATTGAGATATCTTATTGCAACAAAATGACATGGTTGTTATCTTATTCTCTAGCATCTCATTGTCCTTCACTAGAGTACATATACATAGACAGTTGCTATGAATTTGAGGGGCTTATTGGTGATATGCAAGATCATCCACAGGTAAGTCTCATCCGCAATCTCTCTCTCTCTCTCTCTCTCTGACCAGCAAATCTGCAATGTCTCTCTTGAATCATTGCATATTAGAAATAATAATAATCCATATATATATGTTGACGCATTTGCTAAAGTAGCCATGTTCAATTTACATCTCCCTTTTATTTGAAAATTTTTTGTTTGCTATCGTATAATATATATATATTTGTATAATCATTAAACATAACTTCTACAGTAATTATTTTATTTTGACTTCACTTTATTATACCTGTATAAACCTCTTTTTATTATTAAATTTCTTGGCTATATATTCAGGCTGCGCGATGAAACTATTTTCTGAATTTTCCTTATTTTCATAATAATAAAATATTATTTCCTTTTTCTTTTTTTTTAAATAACAACTTTTATTTGTCAGAGGCAGTAACATTTTACATTTCGTATTCTGCATTTTGGTCAAGTAAATGACTTTTTCATATTGCTTTTGCCATTAGGTATTTATTGTGAGAGGTACTTATTCAAAGTTATTTTTATTCAAAAATAAATTAGTGTTGATGCATTATATAAAAACTACACATACTTTTTTTTTTTTGGACCGGAAAAAACTACACATACTTTAAGAGAAGTATTTTTCCCTTTCAAATTTTTTCGCCATGTGTAACACCCCGAATTTTATGATTTAGGATGAGTAGAAAAGAGAAAAATTTATTAAAATTATTTATTTGCCAAATAAAGGGGGAAAATTATGGAATAATGATTTTTAGGGTTTAGAGACATTTTGGAAAAGGTATTTCCCAAAAATGGCTTAAATAATTTTAATAGATAATTTTAAGAGAAAAATGGTTTATTTTCTCTGAAAATTATGGAAAAATACTTAGAGGTTTCTAATTAACTAGAAAATTTTAGGGAAATTATCTTATGATGTAGAGAATTTATTTGAGGCATAAAATCCTTAAATGGATTAAGGATTAATTTCTGAAATTAGGAGCTATTTTCTTGGAAAATTCAAGAAAAATAGTTGGGAGTTGATTTTTGACCTGAAATTCTTAGAGTAATTATTTTATGAATCAAGTAATCAAATGGATGAGGAAGATCCATATAAAATATTGTGGATTAATTTCTGGGTTCATATTATAATTTCAGAATTTAAAGGAAGGATAGAATTAGAAATGACAAATTAAGTGAAGGGCATAATGGACATTTCACGTGCCCTTAAAAGCCACCAGCCTTCCTTTCTCTTCTCATTTTTCGTTTGATGCTTGAGAGAACGGAGAGAGAGATCAGAGAAAACGAGAGGAAGACGGAAGAGAGAGTGAGTGGCCGGCGAAGTGATCGGAGACCCTAACCATACATGCAAACCGATTGATCGGTTAAGGTGAGCCTCCTAAACCTCCTCCCATTTTTGTTTTCTGGGATTGGTGACTGGCTGGAGTGTTGATGATGAGAGAAGTTTGAGTTCTAGTGAGAGAAACTTCCGATGAAGGCTGAAACTTGATGATGATGAAAGCGTAATGCTTGTTGATGATAATGGAGTATGATTTTTAACTTGCATGTTGATTCTATATCGATTAATTGTTGCTGCAAGTGAAGGGTGGCTCTGTTTTGTGATAGCCGAAACAGAGATTTTTATATTTATGGTTGTGGCTTCGTTATTCCTTGGTAATCAGATAATAAATCTCAGTCCTTGGGTTATAGGAATGTTAATATGATGCTATTAGGAGTGGAGTTGTTCTGTGATTTTCGAAACTAATCTCCCTGTTCTGGGTTGTAAAGTGTAGAGTTTGATGAGAAAGATGTGTGCTATAAAATAAAGGAGCAGTGGCTGTTTGATATTTTTGAATGCTAGGAAAGAACTTAAAATGATTAAATTACAGATAAAGGATGTATAAGTCATGCTTAGAAGCAATAGAATGATGATTTTGTGAGACTGAACTTTGTTGTTCGGTTTATCAAGGGTATCGGGCTCGATAGAGAAGAAGTGCAGTGCTCAAAATTGATCCAAACTTGCTGTCTCTTGCTCTTATATATATATATATATATATATATATCTATATAGGTTCTGTTGGTTCAGGTTGAAGGATAAGAATGAAGTGTGACACACACACACACACATATTCGAGTGCTTGTGTACTGATCATGGGAGCTGGAAGTTAATGACATTGAATCTAGAAAATTTCCAGATTTGAAGTAAAAACATTTCACTATTGACTTCGACATTAGTATAGATGTAAAATGATTTTAGAGTTACTGGGGAAGGGTCCTTGTGCAAATGAGAGTGTGGTTTAATGTAATAGTTGCTGTGTTAGAGGGATATTGGATTTAAGTCAATTGAGATTCTTAGAAGTTATTAAAGAGTGATTATTTAATTGGAATATAATGCCAATGAACGTTTAAAGTGTTTGGCCGAGGAATATAAAAGTAAAGAATCAAGAGTGAAATTATAAACTAAGGAAGAAGTTAGAGAACTATCAAATGAAGTTAGAGATGATTAATAGAGACTTAGCTAATGCTTGATAGCTAGAAGATTAAAGATTGGTTTTAGATATCCTAATGTTCTTAAGGTTTGCAAATGGTGAAGAGGAATTATAATTGACTAAAGAAAGTTTATAGAATCAAGTTATTGTTGTTGAAAGGATTAAGAGGATTTGTGAGCTCTCTTAAATATGTATACACGTGTGCTGTCAAGTTAAATAAAGTTAAGCTAGGAATTTGTTTAAGGAAAATCAAGACGTACGTTGCATATATACGTACATATATTTTGGGTATGTGTCTTGGCTAAGAATTGAGAAAAAATTGAACAGCTTAACCTTGAATGTAAGAAGTAAGGATTGAATATATATGCATGTGGAAGGTTGAGTATTAATGGAATTGAAAGTCTGGAAGTTTTTATATGGAAGTAAATCTGAAAGCTATTTTGAAACTTCACTTACAAGAAGGATAGGTTGAATTAATGTGAAAGATTAAAAGTATGTTTGAGGATTCGAAGTTGATAGATTAATAGTGATGGGGTTGGAAAAGATGAGTTTCGAATTTACTATACTTTGGGTCTTGTCCGATTTTGGGTGCTAAGCTTGTATATATAGAGTGAGATAATGGCTTAGAAAGTTATTGATTAAGTTTCAAGTGTTGTCCTTCAATCTGGAAAATTAATCTAGATTTAATTGAAAGGTTGTATGGAGTTTAAAGAGATTATTAATGGTCAAGTAGTTATGAATGATGAATGAGTATTTTTCCAAACTAAAATAAGTTATGAGTTAATGTAATATATAAAAATAATATTGCTTAATCAAGATGGCTAGTTACTAAGTAAAGTAATACTATGGCTTGAGATAAGGAAGGAAGCGTTGCAAAGAGAATAGTTTAAATAAGAAAAATTGTCCAGGATGACCAACTATTAAGTGAGGGTAGAGATTGAAAGAGATTGGGATTTAAAGAGAGTTATTTAATTTATAAATTATGTTGGATCAAGCATTAACCTACCCTTACTAAAATAATAGGTTTTGATATCTGCAAAAGCCCACCGAAGAAGCTAAGAGAAAGGAAACAAGTAAGGTTTGATTTTGAAGCAGAAGGTTCAGGTAGTAGTTCTTTCCTCCCTTACACTTGTGTATGATTGCTGCATGTCTGTTTGTGCCATATTACTTTTCTAAAGCATGAGAACATGTAATCCTTAATTCCTTGCATGGATTTTTAGCCGTGACCACGTGCAGCTGATAAACATGGGGCAGTGATTGCCAATTATATGCGCGGCAGTGATTGCCAATTATTTGCGCGACAGTGATTGCCAATTATTTGCGCGGCAGTGATTGCCAATTATATGCGCGGCAGTGATTGCCAATTATATGTGCGGCAGTGATTGCCAATTATATGCGCGGCAGTGATTGCCAATTATTAGCGCATTATTTATTCAGCTTGTCTAATAGACATGGGGCAGTGATCGCCAGGTATTTGCACATTATTTATTCAGCTTCTATATCTGTCATTGTGCATAAATGCTTAATTGCATTAGCTTGCAAGGTTATGTTCCACTTTGGCTTGTTTTGCATGTTTTATGTGATCTGCACATTTGTTTGATGGAAATTACTACTACGGGGATTCTTCGGAATCTCACCCCCCAATTTATGATGAACAGTGAAGGCTAGTAGCTAGAAGGACAAGGAGGTTATTTAAGAAGAAGATGGGCTGGTTGAAGAGCAGAGATATCTGTTATAATTCTGTAAATTGTATAGTAAAATATTCGGGCAAGTAACTTTACTTGCTTTATGGAAATATTATTTTGTATCCTTTAGAAGGAGGAGGTGAGCATTGCCAGGTGCACGTATATGCTGTCAACCAAGAGCGTTGCTTTATTTTTAATATAATATTATAAGATTGTATAGTATGAAATTATTTTAGGTGATAATAGATTGAGTTGAAAGCAGGGTTGATATTGGATCACTAATCTGTTATTTGAAAGTTTGAAATATTTGATCAACGGATTACAATGTTAAAGGAAAAAAAAAAATTCCCTGTCTTTTCCCAGGACAGAAACCTGGCGTTAGTGATTCACAGACGTTAAAAATGATCTATTAGTATATTTAAAAGTGAGGCGTTGCACCATGCTTTTCTTTTCTTTTTGATGTGAGAAAATACCTTTTTGTGGCTCTTTCTTTTTCTGCTAAAAATTAAGTTAACATTAGTATTTTTGTTCAAATAATTCTTTGTCGGTCAAGAAATATTTAATATGTGTACTTCTTGTTAAAAAAAAGATATATATTATTTATTAAATGTGATATAGTTGTTATAATAGAGAATTAACATAATCATGTAGTAAAAAGTATTTACAACATTTGCTGGTCACACATTTTCCATGTTATTACAAAAATTGATTGAGTCTAGTAAAACGCATGTTGAGATTATGTTAACACAATTTTAAAAGTACATTATTTTTATTTTGCCATTAAATGATCAATTCGGAAAATACTTATAATGGCCAGCATAATATAAATTAGTGTCTACAGAAGTTCTCACTAGAGATTTCAAACATTTTGATAAAACTTTTCTTTCGCTCACCTACCTCTTTTTTCATAGAATTTCTATTTAGCATTTACATTGTAATACTAAAGATTAAACTGCTCAAATTTTTCTTTTTCTTTTTTCAGTACTACAAAATATTATTTGCAAGCTGTATTTTTTAATTTATCTTTCCACATATGAATTTGATAAAAATTTTAATCTCTTCAGTTCATTTTAATTTTTTGTCAAATAATTAATTTTATTTTTCCAAACAACACTTTCTATTTTTTATTTTTTATTTTGTCAAGCGAATAATTATGTGGGACTGTATTTTATTTAGAATAAGTTGGAGTTGATATAATATCTATAAATTACCAATTTGTTAAATTTTCTGTGGACGTTAAAAAGGTTTTTGTCACTGTGCATCTTTTATTGCTATTAAAATTTGTATGTTATCCTTTCAACTTTTTTGGTGAAACTAACTAGCATGCTTTAATCTCTCAGCAACCTTTGATCCGAAATTGTTCTCAACTTGAGAGGCTTGCTGAAGAAGCATCATATGGGGATCGGCTACCACTTCTCAAACTGAAGCGCTTACGCTTGTTGTCATTGCCGAAATTGAGAGAGATCTTCCCTCACGTGAGTGTTTTCTCTCACTATTTCTTTTTTATTTGTGATTTTTATGGATAAAATTGATAAATGTCTTTTAAATTATTTATCAAACATAACAGTTTATATTTTTTGTTTTATAGCTTCGTCAGAGAAATAACTTCTTTGTTATTACATAAAGTACTTGTTCATGGTTGTTTTTGTTAAGAATGAATCAGTGGAAATATTTTCTCATTTTCTTTGGACGTGAGAAAATTCTTTTTACAGGACCTATTTTCCTTTCCTCTTGTTTACTTTTTAAATTTATTTGAAAATTTGTGTTTACTATGAAACGATATATACGAGTAGCAAGACTATATTCCAATGAAAAGCAATAATCATTTCAAATTTTATTTAATATTTTACATCTGTGAAGCAGTCCTCTCGTCATGAAATCAAGCTGGAAATTACTTGAAGTATTAGCAATGTTCCCATTAATGCTTGGTTGCAGAATCATTTTTTGTTTTTGTGAGCGGTTCTTTATCATGGAAAGTATGACTTGTCCAAGACTGTTTGATTTGAAATAAATCAACGTCGATACATATTTATATATCATCCATTGTGTACGTGTGCGTGTGTCTATATATTTCACATTGGACCATCAATAATATGTATAAGAAAAGTCTAACTTAACAAAATTCATCTTACTGAGCTTATCTTATTACAGTTTTATAAATATGTGAAATGAATGGGGTTTACTTTTTAATGTTACAGTGCCATTAAATTTATGTGGTTCATGTGTCTGTATACATAGTCCATATGTTGAATTTTCATCTAATCATTGAATATGTTTACTTCCCAGAAGCAGGGGAATGACACAGTGAGGGTGGCAAAGTTAGAATTGTGTTCGATAGTGTTAGTTAATCTACCGGAATTAGAATATATTTGGAAAGGCCCCACACAAATTTTGAGCCTCCATAGGCTTGAATATATTATACTGAGGGAATGCCCAAGATTAAGAAATATGTTCACTGTTGCTGTTGTTACAAGCCTTCCAGAGTTGAGGGAACTTGAAGTAGATGAATGCAACGAATGGGAGAGAATACTTTGTGAAGAGTCACTTAAGAATCTGTCTACTTCTTCCACTGTTTGCTTCCCCAAACTTGAGACCATTTTTATATCTCGTTGTCACAAAGTGAGAAGGGTGTTCCCATATTCTCTGCCATCTCATTGTGCTTCATTGAAGAAATTATATATATGGGATTGCTGTCAACTGGAGGGAGTTGTTGAAGCTTACGAAGGTGAAGTAGCTGCTCATCATCATCAAAGGCTGTTTCCTGAACTGAATTATTTGTATCTCCAGAATTTGCCAAAGTTGAGAGAGATTTATGAAGGTTATGAATTCAACCTCCTTTCTGGTACTATAACAATAGAAGATTGTCCAAACATATCAAAAATCTCAAAAATCCCATTAGAAGACAAGCCCTCATCATCAGGTTCGTAGTTACACTCTTTCTTTCAAACTATTATCATATTTAATCAATGAAATAATTTTGTGCATTACAATTTCTATCGTTATATGGAAAAAAAGGTCTTTTATTAGAAGGGGAAAAAAAAATTCTATCCTAACACCCACACATACATCGCTCTATTTTTTTTTTAATAAGAAATTGCAATCACTCCCAAAATTTTTTCCGTGTCCATATAATGGTCGTCATGTCAAAATCATAATAATGTACTCGTATTAAATAAGCGACACGTTATGATAATATTAGAAGTTGAATAATTATATAGAACTCAAAAATAATTAATTTCCACCATTTTCGTATTCGTAGTAACACATTATTTCTCATCATTATAAGCATAATTAGCTGTAGTTTAGTACACATTATCCAAGGAAAATTTTGAAAATTGTGTAGAATAAAATTGGTTTTTATTTTGTCTATGTTCCATTTTGATTAGGCTGCTAATTAATTGTTTTTGCCTTTGGTCAGCCGTGGAGATCAAATTAGAAAGTTAGATAATGAAGGACTGATTTGAGCTTTGGATCTTCTAATGGTTTCTTTATCTGCATTGTTTTACTAAGTTTTATGTCTGTGAAAATGTGTTGGATCTGTATTATTGTGTTGAAAATAGATGAAAATGTAGATATAACTTTACTCTGAAGTTATGTGATTATATTTAACATTGTACACAAAATACAATAATTGCGTGGCTCTTGTGTCCACTACTTATTTTGTTTCAAATATTATATCAATCAATGATTTCTTATCTTATTCTTTATTTCAATTTCGTAATATAGTTATTATTATTTAAAAAAATATAATCAAAATTCTATATTCATTTTGATGAAGAAAAAATCATTCCAAAAAAGCTTTCTCAAATTAAAAAAGAAAAAAAAGGATAACATACTTTTAAATTGTAAACGAATCTGTTTCAAAGGTTCTAAACTTTATAATCCAGTCCATCAATTTGATGACTGTAAATAATTCTAAATTTTTCAACAATTGCCGACATTTTGTATAAAATTAAAACAATTTTTAAGAGAAAAAAATCATTAAAGGGAACATTTATGTAAATTTTATGAATACAAATTCAACATTAATAAAATTAGATAAATTTAAAATATTTTTCATCAAAGACAAAAATTGAAAAATAAATAAGTTATCTGGTTGTAATGTAAGTAATTTATGTCTTGCTAAAGTATACTATATTATCTTTTGTTTTAAGAAATTTCAAACACATCAGCTCGAGTTGTGAGCTCCGCCATTTATTTGATAACTCTAATTGTCATAATTTTCATTCATGCAACTTAATTTTAAAAAATATTGTTAGGCAAGACATAAACTAGTTACATTACAACTAAATTATTGTATATATTTGGACATTTCAACAACGACGTATGTTATAATTTTCTTTTTTGTTTCATTTATAAATATATGATATCTAATATTGTTAATTTGAGCATTATTAGATTCTATGATCAGATAGAATTAGATTATGTTATAAAAACACAAGAATTAGATTACATCCGGCCTTCACAAGGAACAGTGATAAGTGATAAATATAAAAAGAATATGACAAAACTTCCTTGTGTTTCTTTTAAAAATAAGAATATCATTCATAGTCCACTTATTATAAATCAAAGTCCTGCTGTTTTCCCCCCTTTTTATTCATCTAATAAAGTATACTTTAGCAAACATATATAAGAAACTAGGATTCTCTACATTCTTGGATTGATACATTTGAAGAAAGTTCCACAAAAGAATGTAACTACAAATTAGAAATAGTCTTGAGAGTTTTGAAAAGGTACTAAGGCTAGAAACACAAATGTTCTCTTTATTGAATCTACGGAGCATGAATCCAAATGCTTTGTAATCCTAAGTGGGACCAAGTTAAAAAAAAAATCGAGGGATGGCTGTGAAGAAAGAATCTTACTCATCATATTTGCCATGACTTAAAGATTTATATATCTGTGTTTCTCATTCTCATGAATATCAAGTAGGTGGAAAAAACCTGTTGCGATTGAATGGCAAAGTATAAAACTCTTCATTTCTGCTATATCCTTTAAACTTTCTGAACTTTGCCTACCATGTCATCCCTCTATCTTTCTTTGACTTTTCAACCTTGAGCGTGTTGTCAAAGAACACCACCACGATCAAAGCCACTCTGGCCGGATATGAGAATATGGCGTTTATGAGTGTGTTGAACTACAAAGATGACACATTGTCACATATAAAAATGAGCTCTTGATGTTCGAAAATTTCAGCAACAATGCAGGGATGGTTTACTTCTATCTTAATCAATAATCTAAGCCTTTTAAGACAACTTTCCACTTAATTCCATCAAAGGGCTTGAAATTAAATGCTCTAAATTAATAGAAAATATCTATTATCCAAAGAGAATGCAGTACAATGCAGTGAATATTATATTGAGACCAGTATAGATGCAAAAACAGCTCCAAACTTTCTAGCAGAAACAAACAGAACTTTAGTTTAGCTTGTGTAAAAAAACTATCTGCGTACTCTGCTTTCAGCTTTGTCATCATAACAGATAACAACTAACTTGTTAAGCTAAGATCATCAGAAGAGATGGGAAAATGTGAATGCGACCGTTAAAATTTTCCTAAAAAAATAAAGTTCCATTGCAAATAGTTAATGGCGTGCATCATCCTTATCCTAAAAAATAGCATAAGGATGTGTCGTTATACATTTCTTGCATTTATTCACAGAACAGCATCAATTAATATAAATCTAATATTGGAAAGAACACATTAACAACTAAAACCTATAAACTATTATTATTATTATTATATATATATATATATTAGAACTACTTTTTCATATATCATTATACTGGACATATTTTTTTGGGGGGCGGGGAGGGATCAAAAGTACTTCTGTTGGAGGTGCAAATTAAATATTTGCCGGACACTTAAAAGGCGCTTGTGATGATTCCAACTTCAAGTAATAAAATCTTTTTTTTTTTTGGTCAGAAAAGGTATAATATCATTAAAACAAAACAGAACGACTCAAAGTTTAAAGGCAAAGAAAACAACAGAAACCCAAAAAACTAAAAAAAAGAAGCAGAAACAGGAATGCGAAAACATCCAAAGAAAACACTGAACTGGATCACTCCTATAGCAGCAGCTGAGAACAAACAGATCTGGTTCACTTCTATAGCAGCACCTAAGGATAAACCGTGAGAAAGAAGGGGAGACGATGAAAAATCTATCCACGAACACACTCCCTTAATGCACTTGAAGCTGCACACCAAAACAATCACAAAACCAAGCAAGCAAAGATGAGCACGAGTTAACCATCCATCTAGAGGAGAAACGAACAAACAAAAGAAGAAATTATTGGGACCTAACCATAGAGGCCACAAACCCATTACAAAACTCCTTAGCTCATCCAAAGAAGCTAAGTTGCAACGGAGAGCAACAAATTCCAAAGGGAAGATGCTCTCATGAAAGAAGCTCTACCAATCACAGCCAAGCTGAGCAAAATCAACACAGAGAGCCAAAAGCTTTTTATCCTCTAGATTTCCAGTCAACCAGTAACCAATCTCCAAAGCCACAGCAGAAGCAAACCTCCCTCTTAAACCAGAACCATCAATCCCAGCAACTACTAACACTAAATTCTTAAAATCAAATACAGACCAATGACATCCAGGCAGCACCCATCTTAAATCATCCTTAATTTTTAGTGGAGCCCTTTTGATTGCTACAAAGAAACTAAACTTCTGGACCTTCCCTTCGGTAAAGATTGAAGCAAGTTATGTGCTCTCACATGAGGAGAGAATTCGCTCTCACAAGAGGAGAGGTTTAATTTAAGTAATAACATCTAGTTTGATTAATTTCCTAGTTTTATATGCTAATTAATCCCTTTTTGTTGTAATTTTGATTGTGACTGATGCTTTTGAATTGCCATGCCAGAATATTAGTAGTAGAATTAGTAAGGTGATTAATTAGTTGTAAGTGTTAATAACCTAATTAGTTGGTGGCCTAAAAAATCTATATATGAGGCTCTCGGAATGTGGCTTAGGTAATTTCTAAACGTATATGCCTCTTTATTTCTGCTTAGGGACTTGCCATTCTCCTATGAGAATTGCTTGGAACTTCCACTGAATCCTCTATATCAGTGAGGACTGAGGAGATTGACATCAATGGAATAAGATCCAACACAATGGCTGAAAACTTCTTGTAGGGGCACTAAAGGAGACATCAGTAGATCGTAATTCATAACAATTCAACTCTCTTCAATTAAAAAAAAAAATGATTACTTTAGTAGAGCATTGGGGTGAACAAAGCATCTGTCAAAGAACCACTCAATGCCCAACACAATATTGTTAGGCTACAAACACTAATTTGGAATCTATGAGACCAAAACCAAGTGATCAAGTTTGACAACACAGCTTGAATTGCAAAGTAGATAATCATAATACAACCGGTGACCAACTGATTTACAACTTTGTAACAAACCAGACAATATAAGATCATTTAGGCGCATACACCTGAACCACAGTTCAGGAAAGTGATCTTTCTTCATAAGCAAGATTGTCCGATTGCACAAAAATTAGTAGATATATGCATCTTCACTCATGCAAAGGAGGCAGATACTTGCACAAAAATTAGTAGATATAATCATCTTCACTCACGCAAAGGAGGCAGCTACGTAGCAGCTGAGATATCAGAGGATTAGTGTATCTTCTGGTACAATAATATTAAGGACCAGAGATAGTATCTTATTAGAATGAATCCAACCAATTACTTCAAGTAACATCTATTTGGATTAATGTGCTAGTTTTATATGTTGATTTGTTTTATGTTTCAATTCTGATTATGACTGACGTTTCTGAATTACAGTTCTAGTTGGAATACCATATCAGAATATTTAGAAAGTAAACTAAAATTGCTCTGAAACTTAGGATGTAGCACGTAAGAAAGGCTTCATGTATAGTTTAAGAATCAGCTATATAGAGTTATGTTTTTTTAAATGGATC